AGGTAGATTAGGCTTCATATATTTACAGCACTGTTTCAGAAGTTTCCGAACCGCTAAAACTGGAATCATAGGCCCAACACAATATTCACCACTGGCCTACCACAGCCAATCAGAGCACCACTAGCTTACCCACAGCCAATCAGCTTCTGGCTGACGGGCTGCTGCTAGCCGCATGTCTTCTTAGGAGACTGCTGAGAATCTCTTGGAGAGAAAAGCAATCAAAATTTATAAATGAGGAAGTACCGGTACCTAGGCCTTCTCAGTATACTGAGATGGCCTAGACCGGTACTCAAAGAAGGCTACAATTGGCCCGTTCACTTTAAAAAAGCCAATTATCAGCAAGAAACAGACGGTGTTTCATGGCCACCTGACTGTATTATAATATATATATATATATATATAATATGCATATTATACACTAGTCGAATCTGCCTTATCGGAAACCTGTGAAAAACAGAATCCTGTGTAAAACGGAGCGCCGAAAACGGAAACCTCCCCGCTCCCCCCTTGATATTCCTCTTTATTAATTATCTGTATAAAACGAAAACCTGTCCAATGTGGAAGCAGAAAGAACAACCCTCTTCTTTCTGAGGGTTTTACCTGTACTGAAAATGCTTTGCCCGCTAAGCCTTGATTTGAAACAAAACTAACAAGTTTGGTTCCGCCGGTTCTGCTACCAAGAGAAAAAGGGGAGTAGGGGTGCAATTTAAGGGAAGATGTTATCCCATCATGTGAGCCCTGAGCGATGAAGATGGTCAGGGTGATGAGGGTGTGAAATCTCACGAGTGCCTGTGAAAGTGCTCTAGTGGGGCTCCAGCACGGAAACTTCCATTGGCAGCCTGAGGCCAGAGGTGTGAAATTAGTATGACCAATGCCTGTTGCCCTCTTCGTACAGCCAGCCGAGAAAAGGGTATCTCGAATCGTTGTTACATGGCAGTGAGAGGTAGCATTAGTTGACTGTGCTTGTTACACCGATGGGTGGGGCTAGGGGTGGAAGCGAAAGAGATGTTCAAACGTTTCTGTAGGTCAGACAGTGGCCCTAAGAAAAATGCAAGAACTAGTGGTAGTTGGATACGTATAAGAAGGTAAAAGACCTTGATGCAAGTCATTATCAGAGAGGATAGCAGCTGAGAGGTGTGAAGTTTTGACCACTTGTGCCTTGTGACTGCTTGCCGACCCGACGAGCGACACTTGATCTCACCCGCAGGGCCATTGAATACCCCCCCCCCCCCTTTTCCATCTCCCCACTTAATTCCCCTGTCTAACTTTAAGACGTAAAATATCTAAGTGGGATTTTTTTTTCAGGCTCCCTTGAGATTCCATCTTACGCAAATTCGATATTATATATATGTTATATATACATGTACTAGAATCTATATAATACACCTGTAACCTGTGTGAGTGTATATATACATGTGTATATATATAATATGAAGATCATTTCTAGAGCACCCACTCCCGTGTGAACACAGCTCTAGGCGCTTTACATAAATGCATGTGTGCGAACAATATTCATGCACGCGCACGCACACGCACACGCACGCACGCGCGCACACATAAACACAAACACACACACAAACTCACGCACACTTCACACTCACACATGTGCACACATATGCATGCCAAACACACGCACGCACGCACACACACACGCACACACACGCGCTCGCACACACACACACACATACACACACACACACACTCACTCACACGCACACACACACACACACACACACACACACACACACACACACACACACACACACACACGCATTTACTTGCTTATCACACACGCACGCTTACACATCGTTACGAAATGAGCACATACAAATACATAATAAAATGATAGATATATCTATACCCAATGCAATTCGAAAAATACGTAAGTCGATACATAGTCGTTAAACATAACATTGCACTGGACATGAATCTACTGACATAAAAATGATGTCTTTAAATATATTTTTTAAATTTAAAAAAAAATATATATATTACAAGGTGTAATTTCATTGCTGACTGACTCCTTAACATTATCATTATTTTTTATCAATCTTTCTTCAAAAATGTTTTATCCCGCTCAGAATCTTCAAGAGTTCCTTCGGCTGTTCTTCAAGGAGAAGTAGCAACCTTAAATCAGGGTAAGGAAGTATAGTATATAGTTTAAGTTACACACGGTAACACTGGTAAATTCGACTTGCTTTGTTCGGGTAAAGATAACCACCTGGACTCAATAACAATAGATTAGAACGGTAAGAGCAGAAACGAAATAGAACCTACCACATGGTGACCCCCCCCCCCCCAACCCTTTGTCTGGTTAATATCAAGGACAGAAAACTTCACAATAGCCTAGAAAACTCGAATCCAAAGATTAATCAAGAATTCCAACTTTGTGATATTACCAGTTGGTGGTTGGCGGATTCTCTGGTGTGACGTGCTCCTTCTTTCCTATCAAACTTCTATCGTCCATATATATTTCCGAAATTTCTTTTGTGTATGTTGTGTGGAAAGGGGGGGGGGGGGGGGTAGGGTGTCATTCTCTTGCAACACCTCTATTCTTCTGCACCTATAACCTTATTGTGTTGCAACTGCCGTAAAACTCTGGCTTAAAACTAAAATTGATACTCCGAACGTAATTTTGGGCAAGCATTAAAATTTAAGTATCTGATTTCAACTAACTTGTCGTCAAAACGAACTGATATCAATCAGCATATATCTAGGTCTTTTGATCCTCTTCGTTATGACAAAATCAAAGTTGGTTTGTGTCCTCTAGCAAAAATGTCTCTTTGAGAAATTATGGGTTATTCATTTATTTATATCGCTGGTCTGTTTATTGTACATTTTATATTTTACGCCACATGTTTCAGCTCTGCTTATCAGGGTCGGCTCAGACTGAATGGATTACAGCATCTTGGTAGCATACAGAAAGAGATAATCATAAAAGCTTCCCCTGTTTGGTGCTTGGGAATCGAACTTGCATCCCCTGAATGTAATAAAGAACGCCCTAACCATTAATAAACCTCAGACATAACTTTAGGTCTGTAAACTGGTTGGAGTGGTGAAATTCCTTTTCCGCCAGTTTTCTTTTTCCCTCATCTTTTTGTCTTTTGGTAAAAATAGCACTCAGATAACATTTAGCTCTACCTCACTTTCCTCAGGAATCCACTGTGAAATGGCCCTTCTTCCTTGTGATGACGTGATAAATGAAGGTGTCTGTGACATCATGTATCGGCGCTGCAAGAAAAACCCGGGTCACTTACTGTTCACCCCCGTCGCCGAGTTAACTTTGGAGGACTTGCCGGTGGAGAGCAGACATCCTAACATTCTTGTTCAAATCAAGCAGCTGGCATTCTCTGTGGTGCGCCTAAGGACCAATTACACATCAACTCACCGGCCAGACAGATTTGGCCTTCCCAGTCTTAAAGGAACGCGTAAACTACGATTCGGAAGTGGGTGTATCTTGAGTAATCTGAGTGAACTTTCAGTGTCCAAGGAAAGCAAGCTCGTGGTTGAGATATCTACGGCAGCTCATGTTGTTTTTGATGATGATGAAGCTAAAAGCACTAGGGTAGAGTGTTTTTTACAGAGTGACACAGATTTTACATCAGTCGCAAATGGCAAAGGTGTGAGAATAGTTCACGTAAATGTGGATCATGACTTTTGCATTTTTGAGTGTGAATTCGCCCAGTCCAAGCAGTTACTACAGTTCTGTTCTAGTGTGAAGAAGGCCAAGGAAGATTGTAAAACAAACATTTGGCCATTTGTGAACAACCCTTTAACTTTTTCTATTTCTCACCCTCATGGCACAGCTCAAAGAATCTCTTTTGGGAGTCAGCTTCAGAGAAACTCATTGATTGCATCTGAAGTAACTGTAAATGTTATGAAAATTTTTAGCTCCAGAGTGTGGCAGAAACTTCACGTTGACCTGAAGAAGATTTGGCATTTTATTGTGTGTGAACTATGTCTGAAAGACTTTCAACTTCCTCTTTCATCAACGTTGAAGGGCAAAGACTTAGCAAGTATTGTTGCACACTTGGTTTCGAAAGAGTTAATAACTCATCCTTTGGAAACTGAATCTGAACAATTAAAAGGAATTTATAAAGCGCTTGTCAAAGAAATTGCAAAGGTCATTGTTTTGAGACTGGTTTCTGGTCAAGGCAGTACATGTAATGTGGATAAGAAGAAAGTCAGGCAGACAGCTAGCTATGAAGCGATGAGAGCTGAGATCGTGTCAGAAATGGCATCGCGAGTACACCTTGTCCCAGATTTTGAAGGCACTCTAGAACGTATCCATTTTGCTATCACAAGCGAGACAGTAAAAGAGATAACTGGTCTTCATCTCCCAGCGACGTTTTGTTTACTGCGGGGCATGGATTATGCCGTACCCACTTGTCCCGGGTCTTCGGGGGCGCCGGTGTTCACTGTGAACACTAGGGAAATGGCAATGGTCAACCACTCTCGTGCCAGAGAGAAACTTGGCTCAGGAGGGGTGGGCTTATTTGTGAAATTTACCAAGTAACCCCCTCCCTCTCCCCCTTTTTATTTTTATTTTCAATGTAATTATAAATAAACCTAAAAAAAAAGAAAGAAGAAAGAATTATAGATCGGCCACAGCACCACAGAAGCGCCCCTGACTGCTGATGATCGGCTACCATGACATCTGGGGGGTTAATTGGTGTGGTCACTACATAAGGATGTGTGTTACGACTTCACTGGGGAACTCAGTCAGAGATGGAAAGCCATTAGAGGAGGAGCAATGAGATGATTGGATGAGTGAAAATTACCTGCCTCATGCCCTTGTGATTGGTTATCAAGGTTTACCATCCTGCTCGCCATAAGTCATAAACCTACCTAGGGATCATGTCAGTTCATTTCAAAGTCAAAGTAAGAGATCATTTCAATGATCTCGATCTCAACACATTTTTACCAGATTTCATCACACCTTTGCTCCTGGAGCTCAACGTGTAAGGGTTTTCTTTAATCGAATTCAGATTCGAGTACCATATTGTTAGACATGCACTTTAAAGTAATAGATTATAATTTACACCTTAGAGGGACAGGTGAAGAAGGGAATTTCAACATGGTTTGTAAGTACTCTTTCTTTCAGGCGGAAGGGCTAGAAGAACTAAAATGGCTGCTGGATCGGAGAAGTAAAGTATAAGTAAATACCCTTGCAGCAATAGGCTGGTTTAATTATCTTCAATCTCAGGTGCTTCGGCCACCAATGTGAAGTGGAAAGCATCTTCAACATCAGCGGTGTCATCAAGAGCTGGTAATCCAAAGAAGGCTTTCAACCACTTGTCCGGGTCGGGGTCTGATTTGTAGCTAGACTAACTTTGGTGATGTAGGCCTACCTACCGGCACCATGCCTGGGTGACGTGAAATTGGTAAGCCTTTCTTTACTGTAGAAGAGGGGCAGAAAGACTTTTACATTCATCGTGCTGATCTCCAGATCCAGATGAATAAACTTGGGATGGAAGTCTTCCAATAGCTGCTTTGCAAATTATATTGAATGATCTTTCAGTCGGTTGTTTGTGTGTGTGTGTGTGTGTATGTGTGGGAGTGTGCAGACGTACGTGTTTTTAGGTGTGGAGAAGCCTTACCCACTTTTTAAGTTTTGGTAGCGTGTTTTTTTACGGCACTTGCAACACAAGGTCATATAAGTGCCGAAGATTAGAGGTGTCACAAGAGAGTAACAATAGTAACATATACAAAAAAGAAGGAGGGGAGATAAAGACGATAGACGTTTGATAGGAAAGAAGAAGCAAAACCACACCAGAGCACCCAACAACCACTCACAGCCTTAATGCCTTATACATGAAAAAAAAAAATGTACCTATTACCTATTATTATCAAACCAGGACCTCCTCCACAAATTAAATAGGGATAACAACTCAGCAAGTTGACCATTGCGAGGAGAGTCTTTGCACACTTTAGGCCTATAGTGTTAATTCAAGTTTCGTTCGTGCACTTCAAGCCAACACTCGCCCATTGTTTTCTTCATCAACAATGGATGCCGCCAAAATGCGTTGAGATTGAGTGCACCAGATCATTTATCAGATTGTGGGCCTGACCACGAGTCACAGTGGATCCTCCCCCTGATAAATCAGCCAAGATGCCGTATTCCCCTTGCATCCAAGCACCTTTGTTGGAGACTGCTGAGCTCCAATTTGAGTAACGAGTACAAGTTTTCTCAGAGAGCATATTTGGTAGCCATGGTCCTGATTTGATCCGCTAGTAATAAAATGACTGATTTCTAGAGTTTGAAAGAGACCCTTCGACTATGGACACTTATGCTATTGTGAAATATTTATCATTTGAAGAAGAGGAGACAGTGTAAACTTTAGGTGGTTTAACTTTAAGAGGACAACAAAGAAGAGTACAAAACTAGAACGTACGAGAAGGAAAACATTCAACACAACCAGAAGAGAATGGACTGTTGCCAGAGATTTATTGAACATGCTCCTGCTAAACTCCTTCCCTTTATGAATGTACATGTAGCAGATGACAAATATAAATAAAAACAATCTTCCGTTTCAGTTACAGCGTGCTGAGTTTCTCATTCAGGGCTAGCTGTGTCTTTGTTAGATTGGCCAGGTACACCACCATCAGAAGATCCTGCAGAGTAGAGTAACATTTTGTTTAAGTAAAGAGAACATTAACACATTACACCCTAAGGGCCTGGACGGGAAGTCCATTGTTAGATCCTAAGCAAGGGAAGGAACCCACCTCCCGTGAATACAAACGTAAAAAAAAAAAAAAACATTTAAAAAATACTAAACAAATTCCAAAAATCCTGAAAAAATAAAAGTTAAAAAGAAAACCAAATGTAGATTCAGAAAAATATAACTTTATGTATGCACACACTGTTGGATATGTTCTAACTTTAGTTCAATCGGGTGTCCGACCCGTCACTCTCACTCTCAGCCTCGCGGTCAGGCCCTAGAACTAAATTCTAGATTTTCTACGTTTGATCAGTTTGAATCGCCCCCAAACTCTTGCTACAACGATTTCATCAAAATCTGGGCCATCTGATTTGTCATATGCTTGTTTTTGCTCAAATCCATCGTTATTTCCGTTTTCGAACTCAATTGTGTCACATTTCAACAAGTCGAGACACTTTCGAATTGTCTGTACGGTAATGTGATCGCACTTCGATCAGCTCTAATACTAAAACTACTGGCCCGAAAAATTTCGTTTCGGTATCAAACGAAAGAAGAAACTTTTTGCTATAACTATGCAAATCAAAATCTCGTCAAGGTGACACTTCGTTTCTAAATACGCTAGGTCAGGGTGGGGCGTGTAAGGGAATTACCGCGCGAGTTAGGGCCCGTTATAGCAGGATTCTTCTTGTAAGGGATCCAGTAATAAATTCAAAGGAAATAATAAAGCAAGCCTAATCTATGAGTTTGGTGTTCTGTTTATTCCTTTTTGTTATCTCCTCTGATGATGGCTTTGTTCAACATGACCTGACCAAAAATTGAATCAGGTTTCTTTCTCTAGCGTTAGCGCTGTTGACAGCTCGGTGTTGCCTATCAGAACGAAAGTTCTCTAGGCTAACTTGCCCGCTGTGTTTTCCCCCACCCCACTACACCCTGTGGTGCGTTCCCGCGTCTGCTTGCGCACATTCGCTCCATGATCCATCACAGCACTGTGACCTCTCCATCCCTGCATCAGAGAAGTGAGAGGCATGGTAGGCCTATCACTATCAGGCAATGCGTTCTGCTTCACAATGGCTTGTGTGCGCATGCCACTCCCTCCCAACTCATTCGCGCCGGCCTTCATCGTTGGCACACATGGGCTGTCCCATTCTTTGTTTCGCTTGATCACCAACAAGTTTTTCAACAGGCGAGGTTTTCATCATGTATAAATGGCCTATGCACTGTGCACTGCAGCAGCAAAATTCCGTTATAACCGACTTGTGTTTATCTGATTGCGCTATGGCAGTATTTTATTTACAAAGATAAAGAAGGAAAAAAACAGGGTTTTTGAACAATGTCTTTATAACAGACTTCTCGTTACTTCAGGACTTGTTATAAGTGGACTCCACTGTAGATGTTTGATAGGAAATAAGGAGAAAACAACTCCAGAGTACGTACCAACACTCACGCCAACATTCTGATAACCACATGTGCCAAGAACTTTATACAGAGACAGGAACAGAACGGAGGCATCCAAGACTTAACTGAAAGCCCCATCCCCTCAGGACAGATTGCCTGGATGAAAAAACTATAAAACAACATGACCAGCAGTCCTTCAACATAGCTGCCTTTTCGAAAAAACAACAACAAAACAACTATTTTAAGCACAAAATGGTGGGCACTGACAAAGTAACCCCCTTCAAACCCTTCATACACACTTTTTCCCATTGAATAAATTCCAGCTTTTCAAAGTAGAACTGCAGCAAAAGAGCTCTCCAATTGACTTACGGGCTTTATTCTCAATATCTTTGCAATTCTGGTTTTAAAATATAATTGTTCTTCAGCACTGGCAAGCCCGTGGGGAGTACTACTAGAAAACAGACTATGTATTTCAAACACAGAATAATACTTCCATACTCAGACCTTCAAAAGTGTATGAAATACATTTTTATGTACTAGACGACAGACATCCTTTTGAAAAAGCCCCCCCCCCCCCCCCCCCCCCCCCCCCCAAATAACCATCACTGCAGTTGACGAAAAAAATCAAATGAATAACTCCATTTGACTCTGCTGTAACTCTCTGACCATGCCTTGGTAGAAACTCTATACTGGCAATTTTCACACTCACAACTGTATAAGTAAATTTTATTTAATTATTATGATACCGGCTTGCAAAGTTCTCAAACATCGTTTGTTCTTGTATTTTAAAAAATCAATTGGCCAAGTAAAAAGCTGTTAGGCCTCTAGTGGGTTACCAAAGCGGAAGTAGTTTTTTTCCCATCTAAACTGGTTCATTTTTTCCTGGTTAGGAAAATTACTACCCTAAGCAAAAGCTTTGTACAAGAATTATATTGAATGATTAGATCGTTATCTTGGAAAAAACCCAGAGAAAGCCTGATGCTGTCTGTTCGAGACCCGTACCCAGTAAGTTAAGGAGCCAGAAAAAAAAATATTGTAGGGAACTAATTATTCTTGCTACGCAATAGTATCCATTTAAAACGAATTACCTTCATGTTTGAATTCAACATGTTCTCAAATTTATCCGAGTCAATATGCGGAACTCCTGTGACCAGATCCAGCAGAAAGCGCCCCGTCGTGTTGTCTGATGGAGTTTTGCCAGCCTTTGTGAAAAAAGACAGAAAATTACAACATTACCTACATTCTGAAAGTCAAAAAGAAGAAAACGTTTGTAACAAATAAAAAGACAGCCCACAATAATCAAGAAGTATCAAGCTTCATGCTATGGGGGAGAAATTTTATGGTTTAGAACCAACCTCTGGTACAAATAACACAATACTATTAATATAATTATTATCAAAGTGTACTCAGGGTTCCTGCCATGAACTTCCCACCAAATTCAAGGAGATTTGGTCAAGAAATTCATGACGAAAGCCTATTTCCGATAGGCCTTTACTTATCCGAAAGAAATCATAGTTTTGATTTTCCTACAAAAACGCTGTTCCAGGGTGACTGCCCGGCTTCTCAATTTTCCAGGGGCATGTTACACAACAACGACAGTGCATGCTCCATTTATATATTATATATAATATACACACAAACACGCGCATGCAGGTACACCATATCCAGTCAAAAACATGTCAGTGTAGCACTGGGGTATTGCGTGACTTAGGTATTTCAGTCTGTTCTTTACTTATTTATATTTTCCCCCTCATCATACTCACACTATATATATAAAAATGAATCTTGTTTTGAGCCTGAGAAAAGGCCTAGAGCCAGAATATCAATTGTCAAGAACCAGTTTGGGTGTCAAGGTATACTGTACATAATAAACATGAAAGACAACTCAAAGTAGAGTAATTACTTGAATGGCTCAAGTAGACCTATTCAGTTTGAGAGGTGTAAGAACTGTGGGAGGGCAAGAATATGCAGTGACACTGAAAATCTGCGAATCTTTAACAGAAAGCTAAAATATAGAGTATACAATACACGATGTAATTTACTATCACCAACAAAATGAAACGGGAACCCTTTAGTTTAAAATAAAACACGGCTTACAAGGTTTGAGTACGAGTATGAGGATCCCAATTCCACACAAACCCTGCACCAACGCGCGATTTGCAGAGAGCTCTAAATCTAGTAGGTACCACAAACCCCCGCCTCTGCGCAGTTGAAAGTGTGTAGGAAGCTCGAAATTTGGTCATTTTAAATCAACCATAATTCTTCTAATTTGACACCAATCTTCACCCCGTTTCGAACCAAGTCAGTTCAACTATTGTTTTTAGCTAAAATCAAACCATTGAGGACGGCACGGAACGAGATATTGTACAGGAATTTATCTAAAAAGGTCACCGAAATGCACGGGAAAGCGTTTTTCACGTCATTTTTCATGCCGGCCGCGGCGACAAAAATTTAGGGTGCTTTATAAAAAGCCTTCGCGCTAAGCGGCTATAACTGCTATCGTCATGAAACAAAAAGTGCAAGAACGAGCTTTGAATAAGCTTTCACCCGGTACCAAGCGCTTGTTGCTAAAGTTAATTGTTGACCCAAAAATATCGGGAGTTTTGGAACCTATTTTTAGAATGGACATCTCCAAGTCTGACCAATGATTGGTCGAAAGAACCCTGGTCTACTCAAAAGTAGAACATGTCAAGGGAATCGTGTGCAAAAATGACTACGATTGGTCTGGCAGCCGTTTAGTGCCGCTTGTTTTTGTAAACACACATGCTGGTCCCATCTCTGGCGACGCGCTTGATTCAGCAATGGCGAAGAATTCTTTACGTGCACTACAACCTATTTTCGATTACGCTCTATTCACGTACACAAGTGCATATCAAGGGCTGCATTGTGCTTCCAATCATGGATAGGGATATTCAGGAGATGTGCGGTAAGTTGATTTTGTTATTTAGATTGTTATAGTGTTACATAGTTCTTCATAAAGTCATCAACCTTTGCCTGACCTGGATCTAGCTAGGGCTTGAAGCCGAGATCGCAAACATGCTAACGGGTGGTCTCATTCAGAGCGTCCTGTAATTAATTCAGTACCCAGTATTGTTGTAAATCTGGTTTGGATAGAAAGATAAGAAGCTTAAATTTCTTGAAAATATGGTGAAATCTAAATCAATTTGTTTTTAGTCATTAAAATTGGTGTTTTTTTCTGGTCACGTGACCATTTCATTCTATCGATGATTCCGTAATGGTGACCTCTTTTTAAAGATCACAACAAGCTTGATGAATTCGTCTGTGAAGGGGGTGCAGCTGGCATTTGTTCATTGATGAATGAATATATTCTCTTGAATATCGCGAATATCTGACAAAGTCTTTGATAACTAATTCATTTAATCGTTTTCTTTTAGCCAATATATCTATTTAGACTCGTGAAACAAGTACCGGCACCAATTGAATTATTTTTTAATACAACTTTTAGAGGCTGGTTTACTGCTGAAAATGGACTCTCCTACTCGAGAGCTTCATTCATAATAATTCGTGATTATCAAATAAGTTGGTACCTTTAGAATTGCTAGACCTATTCCTGAATAGACCCAATTTTTTTAGATTAATGAGCCATGGGGAATTTGAACTTTGTTGCAGATCTAACTTGTGTCTCCTCCACCCTCTCCCCAATTGTCCTGGCCTTGATTTGATAATGGGCTCTGCCCGTGCGGGAGCTTCTGCACAATTTTTATATTTTTGGAAAAAAAAAAAAAACATCGTCTTAAACGAAAATGGGCTCTGTCCGGGCAGGAGCTTCTGCCCGATTTTTTTTTTAATTTTGAAAAAAAATTGTTTCGAGATTCTTTCCAATTAAAAAAAAAAAGTAATTAGAATTGAGGAGTTTTTGTGTGTGTTTGTGTATCTGATCTGTCATTGTTGAATATTTACTTTATTAATGCCTAATTTTATCTCAGATTTGATTGCAGAAATGGATTCCTGGC